TAACAGTGTCAGAAGCAGGAAAGATTCTGTGGAGATATCAGATTCTGTGACTTCATCTGTCAAGAAAACAAGTAACAAACAGCACCTAAGGGTTAGGAGAGACAGGACATGGGATGGGGGAGGAGGGAGGATACATTCATATAAGGCTACTTAGACATGTAGGCAGGAAACAATTAGAACAGAGACCACTTCCTTCCAGGCTCACTGTTCTTTTCAGGTACCCACGTATCTCCCTCTTCTGGTACATTTTGCCTCTTCTCTCTTCTTTCTCCCCCCTACACCACATACTCATACACATTGGAGCTTGGCCTATAACAAAACAGGGAGGACTCACCAGCTGCTGCTAATATTAAAAATATGAAGCGAAGTTTAAAAGTCTGTACTGTAAGCAGGGATTTTTGTAGAATCAAAGATAGGAATCTGGCTGGTTGCTGCAAAGGAAGAATTGATTCCCCAGTCTATGGTCAATAGTATGCTCTGGTTGGGATAACTTGAGCACAGAGAGTCCCCAGGGTGGAGCCCCCTGTGGACAGGAGCTGCTCACTGCTCCACCTGTCTCCCTTCACAGATTCTCTTGAACGTGAAAAGCTGGGCAGGCCTTTGCAGGTTTTCAGATAAGCCTAAAGTAGTCTTGCCCTTTTGAGGCTCACATTTAGTAAAGAAGATAGATTATTAAATAGAATTTGTACAATAACATGAGTAGCCCACACTAGGAAAGAAGAGATGGTTTCTAAAAACTGGGGTGTGTGTGTGTGTGTGTGTGTGTGTGTCTGTGTGTGTGTGTATGTTTAAGAGAGAGAGAGAGAAGGAGAGAGAGAATATGGAGACAACAAAATGATAGTTCTTAGTTCCATTTCTGTTGCCTTGAGCAATGCTGGAATCCAGCAGATATGAAATGGAGTGATTGTGGTGGGTGGTTGAGGTCATGCAATATTAGTAAGTTAAGATGAATCATTTGTGTCTTCAGTCTGAATGTGTTAGATTTCATTACTAAAATAGCTGAATCCACTATGGAAAGTATCAGTGTAAACATGTGGTTTTTATGAACACACTACTTGTTTTCAGTGCATATAATCAATATAGAGGCAAATGTGCCTCTATATGAATGAAAATGTGTGTATGTATGTATGTGGGAGTGAGAAAGACAGAAACAGACTAAGAGACAGATAGATCACCTACTCTGATTTACACCGGTACAGTACAAATTGTATTTTGGGGACTTTGCATCTGGAATTGCTATCCAGCCCACTGAGCCAGGCTGAACTAGTAAGGGGTTTCTGCAGAACTGAAAAGCCAGGTTAATGCACATTCTGTAATTTACTTAGCCACCAGGGGGAGTATTCAGCTCAAAAATGAACTTAGATTCAAGGCAACACCAAGGTCTCCACTCACAGATTCCCTTCATCCAATATAACCTTCCTATGTTGTCTGTGACTACCACATAGCTCTAAGAAGTGCCAGCCACCTCCTCTTCCCTTCAGAATGATTGCCTTTTCTCATATACACACAAACCAGACATACCTATACCCATGCAAACTCACATACAATCCTGAAATGGATAGAGACACAATTATTCTCTACTTGAAAATTCTGTCTGTTGGGGGGTTCCGGGAAGATGGCGGAGGAGAAGCTGGAATCTGAACAAGCTCTCGCATAGAAAGCAGTTTTAGAGTCCCAGTGAACAGTCCTAAGCCAGAGAATCACACCAAGTGTGCCATCACAGGACAGAGAGTTAGACAAGAGAGGGAAAGCCAAGGCAAAAAGACACATCTGAGCGCTAGCCAGCAGCTGCCGCGGCAGCGGCAGCGCCAGGGTTGCGGCGGAGACCGCAGCCGGGGCCATACCTGAGCGCTCACACAGAGTCTGGGAC